TCTTCTGTGTGCTTCCAATGTAGATTACATTGACTGGTTCTTAAACATTGGACCAAACTTACATTCCTGGAGCAAATCCCATTTGGCCCTAACATAAGGTTCTCTTTTCTATATTGCCGAATGTGTTTTTAAACTTTTTTGTTTGTTTGTTTGTTTGTTTCTGACTGAGTTTGTGTCAGTGTTCACGAAGGATGTTGTTGGTTATGGCTGTCTCTGCTGCTGTTGCCTTTGTGGAATTTGGTATCAGACTCTGATGGCAGCTCTGCAAAATGATAGAGAGCTGTTCCCTTCCTTCTGTTTTCGCAAGAGAAATTTAGAATCGTGTGGACTCTATAACTACCTGAGTGAATTCTGTAGGGAAACCATTCAGAACTGGAGATTTATTGGGAGTGGGGGCTTTTAAATTTTAAATCCACTTTCCTTTATAGTTATAAGCTGTTCAAATTGCTTCATCCTGGATGAGTTGTGGTTCAGTTTTTGTTTTCCAGTTTTTTGAGACAGGGTTTCTCTGTAGCTTCGGAGCTATCCTAGAACTCTCTCTGTAGACCAGGCTGGTCTCGAACTCACAGAGATCCTCCTGCCTCTGCCTCCCGAGTGCTCGGATTAAAGGCGTGCGCCACCACCATCCGGATGTTTGTTGGCCTTCTCAAAGAGCTAGGTCTTTCATTAATTTGTCTGTGTGGTTGGCTTTCTATCTCTCTGCTTTCTCTTCTCGTTGTTTCTGTTTCCTACTCTTTCCTGTTTCCTCCCTTCCTTCTGCTGTGGCTTTGCTTTGTCTGTGAGTCCTCACAATGGGATCCCAGGCTAGTTATCCTGTGGAGTTTTTCCCTCTGACAGCATGCAGCGCTCCATTTCCTTCTCAGCTGTGTCCCACAGCAGAACCTTGTTTTCGTTTGCATGAAATTCAACATCTTTTTAACTTTTTTTTTCTTGAAACTTCCTCTTTTGCCCATGAGTTGATTAGAAATGTGCACAGTGGCTCAGCAGGTTAGAGCTCTTGCTGCCACCTAAGTTGGAAACCCAGGACCCACACAGTAGAAGGCAAGAACTAACTCCTGCATGTTGTCCTCTAATCTACACAGGTGTAACATGGCATTCATGGGGGTGCACACCCACACACACATACGCACACACTCACACACTCACATATACACACACTCACACACGTGCATATACTAACACACACCACACACAGAGACACACACACACACTCACACACACATTCACACATACACTCACGCACACTCACACACACACACACAATACTGATTGTTTGATGACTTCTGAATTTATATGACTACTTAGAGATCAGCAACTTGAGTTAATCCAAACTATTACTTTTTCTAAATATTTTATGATAAGTAAACTAAGAACACACTGCACAAAGCTGAAAGCTCCCCAAGGCCCTGCCAGTGGAGGCCATTTCTCTTCCCTGGTGGGTGCAGGCCTCTCAGAAGGCCAGTCGTTAGACCCACGAGCCATTCAACTGTGACTCTGTGACTGACACTTTGAGTTGGACTTCTAAGACATACCATGAAAAGTGACTTTTCTCCTTACAGGACGTGAAGTCAGGCGGCCGTATGTTATCTCCACCCATTTATTTGAAAGTGTGGTAGTTCGGGGTCTTAGGTAGAGTTCACCCTTTGAGTGATTAGGAGACACAAGCTTGAAATAAAGATGTCATTTCTTATAGGCCTGGTGATAGACAGGTGGCCTGTAGGCCACACAGAGAGGCCAGGAGCACAAGGGCAAAGACAGAAGGTGACCAGTAGGCTAATGCCTTTATTGTGTCCTGAGAATTACCCTGTGAGGTTCCTCAGGGGGAGCTTTAATTGGTGATGGTGAGATGGTTACTGTGGCATAGGGCTGCCGGGTGCAGGGTGTGAGGACAGCAGGGTGAGTCAGGGAGAGGCTGTATCCAGCTGTCCATAGGGAGGTGGTCACCAGGAGGAAGTGGTTGAAGGCAGACATCTGGACCGACACCTGGGTACATGGGAATCAGACAACCGGAAGCTGGGTTGGGGTGACTGAACCTGCTCAGGAGTGAATTTGCAGTGAGTGTAAGGTCACGTGAAACCAGAAGGATTTCCTACAGGTAGGGAAGCATCAAGGGCTTAAGAGGTTGATCCAAATTGATTCATTCTTTTTTGGTTTTTTTTTTTTATTGTTGTTGTTGTTGTTTTTTATTGTGTACAGTGAACAAACACTAGCAAGTATATTTTAGGAAGGAGGGAGGGAAGATTTATTTATTTAATGTGTATGAGTGTTTGACTTGAACATATGTCTGTGTACTGTGTGCATATCCAGTACCCATGGAGGTCAGAGAGGCATTGGGTCCCCTGGGACTGTTAGCCTCCAAATGGATGCTGGGAATCAAACCCAGGCTAGGCATGTAGGAGGCTGAACCATAAAGATAACCCAAGTTAGAGGCCAACCTGGGCTCCATAGCAAAATCCTGCCCAAAGAAAGGGAGAAAGGAGCAGAAACGCCAGGAAGTAAAGTGAATCAGGCTACTGTTCCTGCCATGTTGAACATCCACAAGGAGTGTTAAAGCAGCTTGTTGTTGAAGACGAAGAGATGACACGCTATGTCCAAACTTGAACACATCCTCCTGGGCTCACACAGTGGGCGACACCACCCAGTACCAACCTCAGGACTTCCTTAAGTGACCTGAGTGCCATCTGTCTGTACCAGCACAGGGTCACCTAGCCACATGCTGCTTGAAACAGTACTCACACCGCTGATGAACTAAATTGCTAATTTTGGAGTTTTCAGTGGCTTTAGCCTGGTAACAGTGCCCTAGCATCACAGGTCTGAGATACAGGCACCGCTGCAAACCAATCTTACCTGTAGACTATCACGGGAGTTAGATACAGGACGCACCCAGCACACCTGCATCCTGTGAAGTTGGAAGCCTGTGAGCTGGCATCTGCTTCGAGCTCAAGTGGCCTGTGGAGGGAAGGGAATCAAGGGAGGCCAAGGAGACTTCTAGGGTACCAGCAATGTTCTGTTTCTTGGGCTGAGTACAAGTGACCAAGATGTGACGGAAGTGGGGGCGGGGTGGGGGGAGCAGAACAACGTTTTTACCATTACATAATTAAAATATGTTCATGGTAGAAAATGAAGATCCTCTGAGGAAGCAAAAATAGGGAAATGGAATCTTACAGGCAAAAGATAACTGCTGTTGGTGTTCTGGAAGGTTCCCTCCCGACATGTTGGAAAATTAGGATCATTCTGTGTTACTGTTTGAAACACCATTTGAAAAAGAGCTTTTTAGATTTATATATTTTACGCATACGTGTGTTTGACTTGAACATATGTCTGTGTACGGTGTACTGTGTACTGTGTACATACCTGGTACCCATGGAGGTCAGAAGGGACACTGGATCCCTTGGGACTGTGAACCTCTGTATGGGTGCTGGGAATCAAACCCAGGTCCTCTGCAAAAGCAGCCAGTACTCTTTACACTGAGAGATTTCTTCAGCCTCTCAAAAGTCATTTTTAATGTCTAACAACAGATGTTAACTTCTCTGCTTGGGTTTTGTTTTGATTTGAATTTTTAAAAAATACTTATTGATCTATCTATTTATTTATTCGTTTATTTTGGTTTTTTCGAGGCAGGGTTTCGCTGTGTAGCTTTGGAGCCTGGCCTGGCACTCGTTCTTGTAGACCAAGCTGGTCTTGAACTCACAGAGATCCTCCTGCCTCTGCCTCCCAGACATGAGCATTTTAAGAGACTATTTCTTTACTCCTCTTTTTTCCACTTTAGACAGGATCTCTCTGTACAGTTTAAAGCTGACCTTGAGCTTGTTCTTCTTGACCGCCTGACCCTCTAACTTCTGCCCCACCTCCCATGTGCATAGATATAAAGTCACGCTGAGCTGAAATTATTATCCATAGTAGAATATGAATCTACATTACAGATTCATCATATTTAACCTAACAGATCCTGAGGTCCACAAGATGGCTCAGCAGTTAAAGGTGTTTGCTGCCAAGCCTGGCCACCTGAGTTTGGTCCCCCCAAATCCACACAATGGAATGAGAGACCTCACTCCCACAAACTGTCCTCTGACTTCCATAAGCATGTGTCGCCACCACACACAGACAGGCTGTGCTGATTCTCACCATGTTAAATGACACTGCGGCACCTATCTTTTGTGTGTGTTCTCGATCACTTACTGGAAAACAGATGCTGGATGGAAACATGGGGACATCCTTAGCTTTTGAGTTCTGTCGACGGACTAAATAACTGAAGTATTTTCCTGGCTGTGCTGGTTTGGTTTGCTTTGTTTTGGTTGCTGGGGCTAGTTAAGCACCGGGCCACTGTAGAATAGTCTATGAATTCCTTTATAGGGTCTCTGATTTGGGGGTCATGGACGAATGGTTAACTGGGACAAAAAGGTCTCCCCTTTCTCAAGAGCACAGACAGAATCACTATTGAGGATAGTGGCATGGCCATCTGCACCCTCCCATAAGTCTCAGCATTTGGGCTGGTCAGGAAATAGGAAAGAAGCAAGTTATGATCATCCTGGGACCTGGACCTTGTAAAACCAGCCACCCAACCCAGTTTTACAGGGCAGGCAACAAGAGGCCAGGCCTGCTCCACCCAGCCTGCTTCCTCTCCACGGGCCCATCCTGAGAACACTATGTTTTCTCTCCAGCAGTGCATTGACCCCACTCTGTCATTGTAATTGTCTCCATAAAATGAGCACTAAGAGAAAGCTACCCATATTTAGAGCCCCCAGGCCGGCCTGCCTTATCTAGCTGTGGCGATACCTGGAGAACATCAGCCTGGGCACTGACAAGGAACCAGTAAGAACAGGCAGCACAGAAGAGGAAAAACCTTCAGGGAGGCCCTGCTCCCCATGACTGACAGGCCAAGCATCCTTCGTGGTAATACCTGCAGCTCACACAGAGATTGTACCCTTGGTGACCTGCCTGCCTCCGTTTGTCCTTCCTCCCAGCCTGTACTGCATCGCTCTCTCTTCTTTGGTTTATAGAAAGAGAAGAACTCATCCAGGGTGTGCTGGCCCAGGTGGCAGAGCAGTTCTCCAGGTACCGTATCCTCTGTGTATGCACTTTCCAGGCTTGTGGGAGCTGGCCCTAGCCATAGTCAGCTCTCTGTAGCTTCTGTAGGTAGCCCGGCACATTCTAGCAAACCTTCATCTTATCCCCAAAACTGTGTCCAGTGGCTGCTTGTGGATTATGAGTTCTGGGGGTGGTGGATCCACCTGCCCCTTATTCTTCCAAGACTTGGAGATGCCTGCAAAACACCCTTTTACAAATGAGTGCTTTCCACTAATATGCCCTGTGGGTGGGGGTGAGGGGTCTTCCTTTTCACTCATTGACACCCTACTAATTCTATGTGAGTATTGTCATTTTCCCAAAGTGATTTCTGTATAGTATCTTATACCACCTTTGAACCACCAGGGAGCATGACAACACTCCAGAACTGCCCGTGCTGGGCAGGACTGGGTGCAGACTTTGGTCAACCTAACTTAAGTCTGCAGAGAGATCCCAGAGTAGTAAAGATGCTAGACCCAGAGACAGTATTCCTTCTTTAAAAGCACCTCCTGTCATCTTGCTCTCCCCTCTAGCCTCCTTGGAGACTTCACCTCAGGTAGAGACCCATAAATGTTTGCTGGCCCGGGTCATGTTTTATCTTTTCTCCCCACATTTCCCCCCAGAGCATTTAAGATCAACGAGTTGAAAGCAGAAGTTGCAAACCACCTAGCCGTGCTGGAGAAACGAGTGGAACGTGAGTGGATTTTGTTTCTTTCCCTCTTTCCACTTATGCCTTTTAACCTCCGTCAGAATTAGCTGCTTAAAATCTCAAGCAGGTTAGTACCAATGGCAAACGCATCCTTTCTTTGTGTGCCACTTTGATACTGACAAAGGCTAGACAAGGACAGATCTAAGCACACATTTCTATGAAAAGCAGCTTGTACAAAGCTTTGCCTGTGCACAGAACACAGAGTAAAAACCCACATGGTCTCCGTCTGGCCCAGCAGAGCCTCTGCCAGGGCTCCAGCTCTGTGCCTGACTACATGGGGGAGGAATCGTCTCTTGACACCGACCTCTATGCAGCTTGCTTCTGCAGAGTTTGGAATATGTGATGTGTATGACATCTGGATGTCTGTGTTTAGCCTCTACTAAAGGAAAGCAGAAACTCTGCCTGTGAGCAAGAGCCCGGTCCAGTCTCCATTCAGTTTCCAAGAAGCCAGATTTGGGGAGGCAAATAGCTTTGAGTCACCTCACCTGTAGTGAAGGGATCGATGGCAGGATCAATGCTTACATGCCATAGGCCTGCAGATCCTGCATTCCACCCTCAGCCTCACAGCCAGGCTCTCTGTCACTGTCAGGCCCAGCCTGGCAATACATGGGCACCTAATTTATTAACTTGGACAGAGTAAACAAAATCCAAACAGAAAGCCATTAAGAGGCAAGCAGCCCCAAAGAATATGTGGCAGAGTCTGTTTGGGAAGATTGAGTGGATGTCTTTTATTTATTTATTTATTTTTGTAGCTTGCTTTTTAATTGCTTCTCATTTTTCAAGAAAAAATTTCTTATCATTGCAAGACCTGGCTCACTGGGATAAGCTGGGACACAGTCCCACCATCTCATGTGTACTTCTCAGAGTGTGTTGGCTTTTCCCAAGTGAACTGGTCTCTGAGTCCTCAAGACTATCTTGTCTTGCCTGGCATGACAAGGAGCCATGGAACAGTTAATGATCACTCCAGTTCATTCAGCAAATGAGACACACACACACACACACACACACACACACACACACACACACACACACACACAAAAGACCAGTGTCTGGAGTCCTTGCCACCTTCTGTTAGGGAGGCATGGTCCTCCTGCACACCTGTCTGGGGGTGGGGATGGGGCAGCTCCCTGGAAAGCTTCTTCTTGCCACCGTGGCTGCTCCGAACAGAAGACGGTTTTCCCCCGTAGGGGCCTTGTGGAGCCCACCACTCTCCTAGAGCGTGTGGTGTGGTGCAGCCTGATACTGCCACCGCCATCACCATCCTCTTCACCTCTCTGGCATCTCTCCCATTTGGATCTCCACTGTCCTCACTGCCATTGCTACCACTGGCACCAGGTTCAAAACCTGCGTGGAGCTGGTCCAAAGGCTCCCGAAGGACAGCCAGAGTAGGAGAGTGTACTCCCGTGGCCACCTCAACCAAGTTTTGCACACTGAAGGTGTAAATCACAGCAGCGCCTTCTGGGAGCTGGAAGCTCTGGCTCAGAAAGTGTCAGCAGGGTTGGCTCCTCTGGGATCTGAGGGAGAGTCAGCTCCAGGCTGACTCTGGAGGCTGGTGGTTACCAGCCACCCTTGCCGCTCCTCGGCTGGGATTACTCTGTGGCTGCAGCCTGCCTCTGCCTTCATGTGGTTCCCTCCTGACAGCCACCATATCTCAGTACACCCTGTCTGTTTCTCGTGAAAACACCTCTATTTGAATCAAAGATGGTCCCGTCTCAAGTTCTCTATCTAATATCTGTCGAGGTTCTTTCGTCTAAATCAAGCCCCACTCACAGGATCCAGGGTTTAGGGTGGGAACACATGATCTGCAACACACAGTTCAACCCACTACAGTGAACATTCATCGTTCCCATCTTTGTCATGGGAGACCAGCTTAGTCTCCTGCCAAGACGTGTGGAGTACTGGACTCCCTAAACAATGAGAAGGGCTTTAGCAGCAGACCATGGAAGGAGTTTGCTGCCAGGCCACCATCCACATCAACAGATACAGAAAGCACCATTTGGCTTATGACTGCCACACACAGCAGGTGCCTCCTCGTCTTCCACTCATCTAGCAACATCCTCTTCTTTCTGTTGCCTCTTCCGTCCCAGGTCCCCAACTGTAGGTCTCACTTCCTGGCAGCCCCGTGTCTTCTTGTACCCCATCCCCAGGAGTGGCCTTGTATGCCCAGGCTCTCTGCCATTGCAATCCAGCTGGCTCTGGCCTCATCTATTCCTGGCCCTCTTAGCTGACCACTTCCGAGTCTCAAGAGACCTAGCATGGGCGTAGCCAGGAATGTCACCCATGCTGATCCCCAGGGACTTTGAATTTCAAGTGCACATACTTAGTTCCTCATTCTGAAGATGCAAATAGGGGAGACAGGGTGGAAGGTTTGAGCAGGGGCCTACAGTCAGACCTCCGTCCTGAACAGGACACAGGGAATTGTCCAACCCAGATGGTCCTGGCCCTGGGTGGCTGTCAGGAGCACAACTCAAGTCACTGCTCCATACAGACACAGAACCATGCACAAACATGTACATAAAGACACGGACAAACGCACTCACGGGCATGTTTACACGGGAAGCTTCATTTGGCTGTCATTAGCTGTTACCTGTGTCTCGGGGTGAGGGACTTCCAGCTAGCATGGCCACCTGTAAACCCCCACACTGTGCTGACCTGGCCATGAATGGAATTTCCTGCTTGCCCTTTGACCTTAAACCAAATACACGTTTCTCCTCCGTGACTTCCAGTGCTTTTCTCCCTTTCTGTGTCAATGTTTAGCTTTTAAAAGGAGTCTGGGATTACTGGTGGGTCAAAGGTGATTTCGTAGCCATGGAACAGCCTGGCCCTTGCCTCCTATCCTGCCTGGAGCTGTTCACTTCCTTCCTGGTGTGTGTGCTGGGGGTGGGGGCACAGGGCAGCCTTGCTCCTTTCACCCTTTGTACCCGTGCCCTGGACCTGAACCAAGACCTAAACACTAGTGTGGGCCACAGCCAGAGTTGACCCCCCAGGGGCAGAGTTGAGCACAGGCATGCAAACAATCCCGAATTTCCATACTGAACTGAACCAAGCCAGCCTTCCCTTGTGGCTCAGGAAGTGTGCCTAAGGCAAACCTTCAGAGCAGCCTCAGGAAAAAGCACTGAGAAGCAACTCTCTGCCCCCTGCCTTTGAGTGGGGAAGTCTTCCCTTGGCAGCCAGGAGAGAACATGTACCCCACCCCACCCCCATCCTGTGGGGTCTTAATGTGGAAGAAGGTGAAAACCACCTTGGCTACTGCTTTGGCTCTTTTCTAGAGCCAGAGCCGCCGCCTCTCTCAGGAAGTCACTCTTGCATCTTTTCACTGGGAGGCAACAAGGTATAGAGCCCACAGAAACCCCTTCTGAAGTTGGAGCTGCAAAGAGGCCTCAGTGATTAAGGGCACTGCTTGCAATTCCAGTGGATCTGGGTTTGATTCCCAGCACCCACCCCCATGGCCGCGCACAACTGCCTTAACTCCAGTTCCAGGGGGATTCAGCATTCTCTTCCGCCTCCTCAGGCATTGCACTTAGGTGATGCAGAGACACCCATGCAGACAAAACATGCATACACATAACTTTTTTTGTTTTTTGTTTTTGGAAATCCACATACACTTCCCAAGGTTTCAAAGCAAGGTAACTCTGCATGTCAGCAAGTCTATGTTGATTGTGTCACAGGGACCCTGGCAAGGTTAAATGGTTCAGAGGGACCTCTGCTTCAGCTTGGGGTATTTGTACCTACCTGTATGTCAAGTTTGGGAGGGGACAAGGGGTCCCTAATAGATGAAAATTGGGCCAGGCTAGAGTCCAGCAGGCTCCCACCATTGTCTGTGAAGGCCTCTCAGTGTGGAGCACCTGCCCTCTGGAATAGGCTTCATTCTCCAGAATGCGGTGATGGAAAGACTGGAATAGGGCCTGCAGTGCACTGCAGAATCCCAGGAGTAGGTCACACCTGTAACCCCAACTACTTACAAACCAACTTACAAACGTGCAGGGGGATTGCACGTTTGAGCTAGTCTGTGGTAGCTTTGTCTCAAACCCACATGGCAAGTTGGGACTATGGGACATCTCTCCTTGGACCTATGTTCCAGGGGCATGCTCTCAGCCTGCAAAATGCAAAATGCAACCAGGATGTCTAAACAAGGCCGCAGTGGCCACACTGAACCCATCCCTAGGGAACCCCAGGGATGCCTGAGCACCTGTCCTTAGAACATTGCTCCATGGCCTTCATCAACATCTTTGGGTACCAGTGATACAAGAAAGTGTGAAGAACCTCACTCCAAAGGAGGGGTGACTTGAGTGGAACGTGCCTAACCTCTGTGTGCCTTGCCACCCCCACATCTGCTACCCAGACTTGTTCCCAGGCTGCTACCAACCTGAACCCAACCACTGATACCAGAGGCCTTCATTTTGGTCTGCACAGCCTCCTACCAACCTCATATGGGAGGGGCAGAAGTTTCCCTGGCCCAGAAATAAGTCACCAAAGCTGAATAGGCAGTGTCCCTGTGGAGCCCTATCCCAGCTTGGCTACTACTTGGGAAAGTTCTGGAATGTCCAGAAGGAGGCTGTGTCACACCAGGTGCCTTTGCACAGACACCTGAGCTGTGGCTCCTCTTTCTGGGTGGGAGGAATTGTTAGGAACCCACCAACTCCCAGAATCGCCGTTTTTCCTCTAGAACGGATCATGCTGTGTGTTTAACAGTTATTCAGAGCCCAGCTCAGTGAGAAAGGGACAACACTGACATGGTGGGCACCGTCCTTTGACCAAAAACTGAGGTGTGGTCATAAAATAAAAGATATAATTTCTTTTCCTCCTCAAGAACCCAGATTTGAGGGGCTGGAGAGATGGCTCAGAGGTTAAAAGCACTGGCTGCTCTTCCAGAGAACCAGGGTTCAATTCCCAGCACCCACATGACAGCTCACAACTGTCTGTAACTCCAATTCCAGCAAATCTGGCACCCTCACACAGACATACATGCAGACAAAACACCAATGTACATAAAATAAAAACAAGTCATTTAAGAACCCAGCTCCGGGCAGCATTTCCAGGCATTCCCAGAATTTCCAAGGGAACATCTTGGATAGTAACTTGTTGGCAGGTACACTCACCAGTTAGCTGGGACCCTGAGAATGTGACTGAGTTTTACCCTGCTCTTCCCTGACATTGCCTGTTTGTTTCTTGACTGCTGGGGAGGTGAAAGAACCCCACATTTCAGTAGCATGGGAAGGCATGGAAGCCCCTGCTGTGAGCCAGCATCCTCCTGAGACCCTCGGCTACCAGCCTCGCTAGATCTCTGCTATTGTTTCTGGTGACGCCATCTGTGTCTCTTTGTCACCAGTGGAAGGACTTAAAGTGGTGGAGATCGAAAAATGCAAGAGTGACATTAAGAAGATGCGGGAGGAGCTGGCAGCTAGAAATAGCAGGTGAGTCTGTGCCCGGGCTCTGTGTTGGGGGAACCATGGGATGGAATGTGGCTTTGTTTCCCCAAATAGTAAAGCTAATGGGACTTGGCTGTTCTGGTTCCAACACGGTTGACCCAAGCTAGAGTAGGCCTGTTGTATCAAAACAATTCCATCCCATTTTCTTAAGAGTTTTGTTTCATTTTTTTAAGATTTATTTTGATTTTATGTGCATGGGTGTTTGCCGTATGTGTGTCTGTGCAGCATTTGGGTGTCTGGTGCCCATGGTGGCCAAAAGAAGGTGTCAGACCCTCCGGAACTGGAGTTACAGGCAGTTGTGAGCTGCCCTGTGGGTGCTGGGAATAGAACCTAGGTCCTCTGCAAGTAGATTCAGTGCTCTTAACTGCTAAGCCATCTTCCCAGACCCCTACATTTCTTTCTGTTTTTTTTTTTAAAGATTTGTTTATTTATTATATATAGAGTGTTCTTCCTGCAAGTCTGCAGATCTTATTACAGATGGTTGTGAGCCACCATGTGGTTGCTGGGAATTGAAATCATGACCTCTGGAAGAGTAGCCAGTGCTCTTAACCTCTGAGCCATCTCTCCAGCCCCCTATGTTTTCTTAAAAAGGGGTTTTGTGGCAGGTGTGAGCCAGAAATGTCCAAACATGAGAGGAAAACAACTTCCCCCCAGAACTGTGCTATGGTAATTCCCCATTTGAAGGAAGTTAATGTTTGCTTTTTTTGGTTATTTTATTGGGGAGGTTGTTTTTTGTTTGTTTAGTTCTGGTTGTCTTGGAACTCACTCTGTAGACCAGGCTGGCCTTGAACTCACAAAGATTCATCCACCTGCCTCTGTCCCCTGAGTGCTGGGATTTAAGACAGGTGCCACCACACCCAACTGTTAGCTATCTTTAGAGAGAATGGTAAGAAGACAAAGGTGTTTGACTTATAGGAGCAAGTACCCAGTTTTCATCCCTGGGTCTCCCAGTTTCCATGGGGAGCCCCCTCTGGCAGAGGAGTACAGTGAGTGTTCCCATTATCATGAACTTGGAACACACAGCCTGTTAAAGGTGATGTCCTCAGAGGCTGGTGACCAATAAATAATCCAAGTAAAACATGCCTTCTGAATGGTTGGTCAGCAGGACTACCCACTAAAGCCAGAGTGCACGGCTATAGAGCAACCTCCTGAGCAAGGACCAGCTCTGAACAAATGACCTCAGTTGTCTTAGAATCCCAGCCTCTACTGGAGACCACTGCCTGAATTCAACAAAGCCAGGCTGCCTGCTAAGGGTGGGGTGTGGTTTTTGTCTGCAGGTAGGAGGTAGAGGGAGAGCTGGTGGTCCCCACGGAGTCCCACCGTGACTATCCTGGTTGTCTGGGGTGGGGGCGGGGGCATGGCACAGGGAAGAGAGATAAACCATGGTATCTTATGGGGACCATGTCACATTCAATGCCACATGGACTGGCCAGCTGGTATAGCTGGAAGCTCTTGTTCCGTTTCACTTGGGTGAAGGCAGGGCAAAGAATTTTGCAGCCATAGGAAACAGAATGAACAGTTCACTCCCATTGTCCTTTTGGAAGTAACTTTTCAGGGGTTAAGACAGTCCCTTAGGTGTAGCCTCCGAGAAGAACACGGGGTCACATGGGGGCAGAAAACATTGGCTGGGAGCCAACCCAACAGCCTCTGACCCGAGATCTCACTCAGCCTGCTAGCATCCCGAGAGGTATGCCTCCCAGGACCTCTGAGCCTGTGGGGGCAAGTGCTCTGTGCCAGCTCTGGTAGTCTGCCTGGAAAGGTTCTTTGGCTTGGCTCAGTAACAAGTATACCTCTGTACCCAACAGGTACAGGTTAGAGCTCACAGAGACATAAGCCAGAGCCCTTCAGCACCCCCAGCAGGCTTGCAGAGGCGGCATTCTCTGCAGACAGTGCTGGGCATTCCTTGTAAGGGAGAGACAGATCAGTGGGATGCTTCAGTCTCCACAAGTGGGTGAAATGCTCAGGCTTCACCTCCCTATGAGCAGACACATCTGGAGCACTGGGCTGTGGTCTAGTCCACGCCTGGCTCTGGTTCCTGGGACCACTTTTCTACCCAACCCAGGGCTTTAGTGTTCTGGATGCAGAATGGAGAATGTGGTGTTTGCGCTGCCCCTTCGGTGTTGTTGATGGAAAAAGCCCATTTTAAATACAGACGCACACCCAGAAATCAAGTCCCCTCCCCCCAGGATGAGGCTGTGTAGCTTCACCTAGATTGTGAAGAAAGATTGCACCCTTGACGGGTGCAAGTGCCACATTCCCGCCTTTCTCAGGGAGCATAGAGAATAGGAGATGGTGGGGGTAGAAGGGGGCACAGGTAGCCCCACACTCATGAGCCTAGAGAACAGACCGACATTAACCCACTTGTAAACACACCCTGACAGGGGTCTGAATCCACCATAACCTACCTGGAGACAGCAGGGGGCACAGACACAGCCTGCCAACACCCTTGGCAGAATATCTTCTCCTTGGACCCCCTCAGGTTCTTCTGTTTCCCTGAAAAGAAAGAATCCCAATGGCCAGCTCACATTCAGGGCAGAAGTGAATCCTACTGAGGACCGTGGCTACTGTGGTCCCTGGCATTATCCAGAGCAGAAGCATGGGACGGTAACTGAGGCTTGGGGTCTATAATCACCTCCTTTGTCCCAGACAAATAGCCTTGACCATGAACTGAGTCTCAGGGGAGGGGAGGATAAGAAGCCCAGGAAATGAGGCAAAAATGAGCTCCAGACAGAACAAAAAGAAGAGGCACCATGCCAGTTGCTTGGCCAGCTGGAAGATGCTGGTTCCTGTGGAAACGAGGCCCAGAGTGAGAAGTGGCTGGCCAAGGCAAGGTCAACAGGCACCAGCATCCTGGTCTGCCCCCAAGGCCTCAGTTAGCAGGACAGGACCAGATTCCAGCAGTCAGCATCATGCCTGGTGAGGGCTTCCATATGCTCTGGGAGAATGCAGAAGATACACAGGCCAGAACACATGTGTAAATGTTTACACAGAGAGGCAGAGGGAGAAAGGGAGCAATGTACCCTACACAGCCAAGAGGAGCTGATCTGAAATCAGAGGGGGTGGCTTGCGGACAAGGCAGGGGTGGAATGGATTCACTGAGCTATAGATTGGTTCCTTCTGCTATAAATTTACCAAATCTATGTTTGATACAGTGACCATCACAACAACCTGATAATTTTTACAAGTGTGCAGTTGGGAGGGAGGCCACCAAAGGCTGTGTTTCAAAAGGAATAGATTTATGATTCTGGTCTTGGAAACATCACAGGTTCAGAGAAGACTCCAGACAACCCAGATAGAGTCAAGGGGGTCACTGGTAGTGACAACATCCAGGCATGCCTTCAATTTGAATTCATTGCAAAGTCTCCCTCCCTGGTGTTTCCCTGGGTGTGTTCAACTCGTTTTGATGAAAAAAAACCAAACAAACAAAAAAAAAAAAGACAAAACTTTAAAATACTGTTTTGTGACCTTTTTTACTTGTAATGTTATGAAAAATGAGTAGATTAAATTGTAACTGTACAGGTCGTAGATTTCCCCACAGCAGGTGGAGCTGGAAAGCTCATGTGTCTTAGCCATGTGTTTCTGTGCCTCGCTTTCTGAAAGGACACCCCAAACTCTTCTCACCAGGATGGGGCTGAGAGTGAAAATGGATGAGTGAGGACTGGAGGGTTTCTTTTTGTTTTTCTCCTGTGTTTGTTGGGTTTTGTTTGTTTTGAGATGGGATCTGCATCTATAGCCCAGGCTGGCTGCAAACACAAGATCCTTCAGCATCATGGGCTGGGCGCTGGCACACAGGCACAGTGTACCACCACACCCAGCTGAACCTTTGAGAATAAGAATGTTCTGCTGTGTGTAGTGCTTGCCTGCTATGCATGGCACCCTGGCTTCCATCTCCAGCGCCACATAAACTAGGGCTCGTAAGGTACCTCTGTAATCCTAGCATGTAGGGGGGCTCAGAAGTTCAAGGTCATCCTTGGCTATATAGCAAGTTTGAGGCCAACCTGGGCTACAAGAGATCCTGTCTCAGATAAAAAGGAAAAGAAAAAAGTTTGCTTTGCCATGTTAAAAGATTTTGTAGATATCTTTTAAATAATAAACTAATAAATTATAATAAATTTAATTTATTTCTAAATTTTAAGTTTGTTAATTATATGTTGACAATAAATCTATAATTAATAAACTGAACTAAAAGGGAACTCTGGCTGCATTATCACCCGGCTTTCAGGATGTCCCCAGCTTGCAGACTGAGAGCCAAGCATCTCACAGCTTCCATGATGGATATACTCCTTTGACAAGTCCAATGGACTGGGGCTACACAGGTCTGGGGCTGTGTGTTCTGTTTGCTCTGCTGCCCTGAGCAGTACACAGAGCGCCTCCAAGCCAGAGCACACTGCCATAACTAAGTTCTTCCTCTCCTCTCCAGGACCAACTGTCCCTGTAAATACAGTTTTTTGGATAATAAGAAGTTGACACCCCGACGCGATGTCCCCACTTATCCCAAGGTGAGATGGATTTCTGGCCCAGGGACAATTCTAGTTCTGTGTCCCCCAGACCCAGGACACGAGAACCCATGGCTGGCCCCTCACTCTGCACAGTGACAACAGCCTCTCTCTAACCCTGTCTTGGGCTGAGGAAGGATGGGAGGTTGTCAGGCAGGATATTTTTCTCTTGGACATTTGTTTAGAGAAGCAATTCCTGAGCAGGGGAGGTAATAGCCATTCTGGCTCCCTCCCGGGCCTACAGCTGATGGTAAAAGACATCTGCATGCAAACATTCCACTAAAGAACTTTAACAAGGTTCTTAAAAACCTACATCACTGGCTCCCCTGTCCCTGAACAACACAGTTTTTATGGAAATCTCTGCACATAAGTTTTCTGAGTTTTAAAAGCAGCCAAGCCTCATGTCAAGTAGCTATGGCCTGGAGTTAAAGTTGTTTTAAATGCCTACAGAGATCAACACCTTCGCAGAGGTGGCCTCCACTTAAACCCTGGCTCACACTTTTGCTCTGAGTTTAGGCTGACCACCCATAGGTTCTCCTGGAAGCCCCCATAGGTCCCTGGGGCCCACTAGTCAGTGATTTGCCCCACATCGGTCCAAACATGCACTGTGTATTATCCAAAAGACCAGCCCCTTTCCACATCATTTGCGATCCTGTCCAGGGATTACACAGCCCAGACCTGGAACAAATTGAGTCATCCTCCACACCAGACCCTTCTTAAGAAAATGAAGAAGGCTAACCTGAATGGCAGCCCTACTGTTGCCCCACATCTGGAACATCATCCTTGATTCTGACACCCCTTCATCAGCCAGTGTGTGTCTTAGCTCGAGGCTGATTGTGGTGGTTCTCCCGCAAGACAAACCCAGCAGAGCTCCTTGGTAGGGATTTGAACATATGCCTAGTGGCTTATTGTCCCTTCTCTTCACTTTGTATAGCTTTTACTGTTGAGATTTGTTTGACAGCTGTGGAGCTCATCTTCTTAAATTCTGACACTTGTAGTCATAAAATTACCACCATGATAAATATAGGGAACATTTCTATCACTCAAGCGTTCCTAGGAGCCCCTAGTATTAGGAGCCCCTAGTATTCGGAGCCCCTAGTAACCCCTTAGTAGTCCCTAGTACTAGGAGTCCCTAGCAGCCCAGGCCACTACAGATGGGAGTCAGTTTCCAGAGAAAGGCAGCCCTGAATGTGTACACAGTGTCTGTGAGGGGGACTGGAGAATGGAGAAAATGCTCACTGGCAGTTCTTACTCACAATGCCCTACTGTCTGGCTAATACACCACTCCCATCTTTCTAGTACCTGCTCTCCCCAGAGACCATTGAAGCTCTACGGAAGCCAACCTTCGACGTCTGGCTATGGGAACCCAATGAGGTAGGTGAAGGACTTCTGGGTTCTCAGTCACTGGGGATAGCTGCACAGGACTGCAAATTCAGAATGGGGACTGTGCCCAGGCTACTCATCCTGTGTATTTCTTTTCCTGTCTTTTTTTAAACAAATTTTATTTTATTAATTTTTTTATGTACACTGGTGTTTTGCCTGCGTGTATGATACTGTCTGAACTGCAGTTAGAGAGTTGTGAGTAACCACCATGTGGGTACAGGGAATTGAACCCTGCTCAACTGGGCTCCTTTGGAAGAAGTGCTCTTAACCACTGAACCATCTCTCCAGCCTTCCTGTCTTTTTTTTTTTTTTTAAGTTAAACTCCCCTGAATTAGATTTTAATTCAAAATGACACTTGATGGGTTTAGAGGGCTGCAAGAGACAGCGCCCAAGGCAAAGGGCTTTACTGGAGCTTAAAACAAAACAAAAAAACAAACAGCAAGCCCTTGGCCTTCTGATGGTGCTGAATGCCCCTGGGCAACCAGCTGAATGCATGCCCCAGGCTAGGAGACATGGGAAGTTAGAGCCCCATGAAGGTAGAGCTGCTGCTTGGAACAGCTGTTTCCTGTAGGGAGGGGCCTCCAAAGGAGCAACCTGCTGGGAAGAGTTGCCAGCAGAGGCCCCCAGGCAGCTGGACACAAGATAGTGGATTTGTGAGGTCTGCAGAGAGAGGAGTCGCTTTTGACAGGAAGAAATTTCCTCAAAATTTCTCATTGGCTAAGAAATATCAAAGTGGAAATTGAAAGAACAAGTCCCCTCCTCAAGGACAACTCCCCAAAACCTAAGGACTCTTCCCAGCTCTTCCAAATCACTTCTCCTTTCCATTGAGATCAATGACACATCCACCCACAGCTCTATCTATCCAGTACCCTCCACAAACCTACTTCAGGGTGTGACCTGTTGTTGGTCTGCTGCTCTGATGCCTTGGGGATTCATCCTGAGGCTGCAGACAGTAAGGTGGCTGGCTGCTCTGCCACACTGAAGGACCACACACTGTTACCTTGGAAGCCCTCTCCTCTTGATCAGTACTCATCATCATCTCCAGAAACCACCACTCGTTCACTTACTCGGCTGGAGTTGAGGACTGTCAAGGGAACAGACCATCATCCCTCCTTCTCTGAAAGCCACCATATCTGTCACAGAAGGGGCAGCAGATGGCTGCGTCTGGCGGTTCTCAGCATCTCTCAACTGTGATTTCACAGCAAATATTTCATCTCTCCGGGGTTGCTCAGAACACTGTCTGGGCCTCTGGGACCAAAACAATGGTTTGGGGCTGTAGCCCAAGGGTCCTGAGGGCTGGCATCCAGGATGGTGGGAGGGCTGGTGGCTCTGGATGAACAGTAACTGCCAGCACCAGGAGTCAGCCATCCTCAAGCCAGGGTCAGAACACCTGCCACTCTGCAGGAAGTGCCTTTCAGGGTTGTCCCCTTCAAAGCCATTGGCTTCTCCTGAAAGATGAGTGCATGGCCATTGTGCTCTCAGGATGTTCTGTGACAATCTAAGTCTCCCTAAGAGGTCTGGGTGAGAGATTGTTTTCTGTTTCCCAGATGAACTCTCTGCCATACCATAGAGTTCTCCGCTGCCAACAGAGTTAAAATATGGTAGTCACAAAACTTCACCTGAACGTCACAGCCCATACATATCACATAACAAAAAAGAAAAGAACTCGATGGCATGCCCACACTTCCTTTGACTGTCGGCTATGTCAGACTACCAGAGACTGGGTGGCTTCAACAACAGCAATGTGTTATTGTCTCATTGTCCCGGAGCCAGGAGGTCAAGGTCAAGGTGTCTTGGGTTGGTCATTCCTGTGCTGTCCCCTTAGTTTGCAGATGACATCTTCTCTTAGTCATCTTTGTGTGTTTGTGTCCTGACCTGTCACTACAGAGTCATGGTCAAATTGAATTGAGCCCCTCCTGATGACCACATTTATCTTAGTTGCCTCTGTAAAAACCCAGTCCCCAATATGGTCATGTTGGTGGGAGTATCACAGTGGAGCCTCCAAATACAATGTTGATGGAACACAATTCAGTCACTTACATGGATTTGCCACTTGGCGCCCAGATGCAAGGGACACAGGCCAGGCTACAGCACTGACAACTGTTGCCCTGTGCAGGTACTAGGACCCTGATGCCCAGGATCAGGCAGGCGCTGATGTGTAGCCTAGGGGGAAGTGCTCTCTGCTGGGGTCATGCCATGTGTCCACAAGGCTGACTCACTCCGTTCTCTATTGCAGATCTCCTGTCTCCCTGAGACCTGCCTCTCCCAAATGCAAAGTCACTCTAGCCAGGCCTAGTTACAAATTTCTCTTCTATTCCTCATTGGCTTAGTGTCAAAACCCTAGGAGATGTTTGTAGAGACCTGGAAAAAAGACAGCAGAATTAAACACTACGTGTACCTCACCCTACACCAAGTGTCCACAGATGACAGAATTCCCAGAAATAAGATTTCTCCGGACAAGAGGTCCACCGTCCAGGTCAAGACTAAGACAGCAGAAAACATCTCCAGTGCCAACAAGAGAGCCGGCTCCAGCTCATCAAAGCCCTTCCCACCTCTAGCCTTGAGCAAGAAAGGGTGGCCCTCAGTGACCCCCCCCTTCCCACATGTGTTGTGGATGAACTTCCTCCAAACCCTTAACCCTCTACTTGGGTTATGGTGACTTTGCTGTCACCCTCTCAAGTCCTGTTTCCCTACACCAGTTGTTAGCATTCCTAGACTGCTCAAGAGGTTTTCTGCCTTGTCACTTCGGTCCCAGGAGGCCTGCAGGCTGTCACAGATCCACAACCCATCTGGGTGATCCTACAATTGGCCTGCCCCTCTCCCCAGTCACCCCTCATGTCAATATTCAAGACAGCGCATGGGAAGGAGGGTCACTTGGCCTGCCTGCTCCCCCTGACCTCTGACCTCTGACCCCTGACCCTATTCCCACAGATGCTGAGCTGCTTAGAGCATATGTACCATGACCTCGGCCTGGTCAGGGACTTCAACATCAACCCCATCACACTCCGCAGGTGGCTGGTAAGTGGCGAGCCCCAGCCTCAGATCTGTCACTTCCTCCCTGCCACATCGGAATGGCCTGCCCTACATTTCCTGGTGGCAGTGGGTTTCTGCAAAGTGGGCGTCAGTGCCAGGGGAGTTCTGTGAGGTGATTTGTCCCATCTGTCCTCCCAAGCCATTCCTCAGAGGAGTGAGGAAATAGTACAACAATCAGGGAGAGAGTCACAAGGCAGCACACTAAAACAGGGGTGTGTAGAGTTGGTGGTGTCATGAGTACCTGGGGGTGGGTGGGTAATGGGGTTATATGAGTGTGTGGGGTTGTCTTGAGTATATAAATCTCTGTGTGTGTATGTGTGTCTCTGGTCTGTGCATGTGGGTCTGTGTGTGACTGTGAGTGTGTGTCTCTGTGGCAGTGTGGGAACGAGAGGGTGCCTCTGGGAGTTTGTGAGAGTATATGCATCTGGGTTGTGTGTGGTGTGGGTGGTTATACACACGTGTGCGTGTGTGTGTGTGTGTGCGTGTGTGTGTGTGTGTGTGTGTGT